TAGTATGTATGCATTCAATACATATTATCGCATAATTCAAGGCTATGCCAAGCGATCACTTTATATACAGTGCACACAAAACACTAGACTTTTAGACTTACATTTCGGCCGTAAAAAACATGAAATTTAATTAAAATTTATGTGAGTAAACAAGAGATCCATTTCTTAGGCCTATTTTCTATGCGATATTGTCATTGCTTTTTGACGAGATTATCGCTCAATCGGTAACATTTGTTAACCATTATTACAATCAGATCTTAATTGACACTTAAATCTAAATTAGTTTCCCAACAGTTTTTATTCTTTCTATGCGATATTGTCATTGCTTTTTGACGAGATTATCGCTCAATCGGTAACATTTGTTAACCATTATTACAATCAGATCTTAATTGACACTTAAATCTAAATTAGTTTCCCAACAGTTTTTATTCAGCATATAATCTGATGTCAAATGATTCAAACAAATGCCAAATAATGTATAAAAAATCATCTGATATTTTAGACATTCTTTGAGTTGCGATTATAAGAAACAAAACATACATTTCTAAAAACATTTTAATTAATCATTATAAACATTATTTAATTTCTTAATAAATAGATTCTTAATAATCATACAATTTTTCCACAACATATGTTTTATTGCATAACTTAAGTGCTATGTATTTGGTGTTTGTCATTAGATTCATAAATCATTATTCATTATAATTGTTTGATTATATAATGACTCGATTGTGAGCTCAGAAATTACAAGAATATACACAAAATCATTAGTAAATCGTGGGCACAGGTAGTGGTGGAGTACACATACAGACACTGACAGCCAGTTTGGTGCCAAATACAGGTGTAGAGATGGGATTGTATTTGCAATGCATATTTTATTAATGTTATTCAAATAACTTAAAACTGTTGCCGGTAAAACTAATAACTTTGTGAAATGTACAGGCAAACATGTTTTTTGCATAGCACATTTATATTCGTATACACTTTATGCTATACAGTATCAATATTACATAAATAATTATAACTTACAATCATTGATAATTACAGAATGTGATAAATCATTAATTTCTATGTAACCAAATATTTCCCACAAAACAATTAACAAATTATATGTACAATTGATACCGTATATCAATTTATTGGCATAAATTACAATAAAAATAAACACAATTTGTCTGTAATAATAGTACTATTCCTGTAATGCTATATCCATTATAACTTAATTTATAAGGAATACTTAAATTATTAGAATTCTTGTTATAAAATACAAATATCATATTTATATCAAATAATTCAAATTTTTATTTTCAAATAAACAATAAACATGATATTTATATACTATTATGTATTAATTTTAATCGATTAATATTTCACACACCAAACCATAGGTCGGTTCAATGGCGTCATGTTTTTTGGCCAGAAAAGGATATAAAGTAATCAATCATTTTATTTATTATCTTCTCATTTCTTTTTCCCACTCTTTTCGCTCTCGTATTCAATAAATAGACACAAAAATAAGAGTCAAAAACATATCTGCGCTAAAAATATAGCATAAATTAGTACCAAAAAAATATGATAAAGTTACGCAAAACCACTTTACAGTACATTACAGTAAAAGTGATATAACGCCAGTGAAATTAAATTCTGCACCAAACAATTGATTTAATAATTCAATAAGTTTAAATTTAATCTTGCCCAAACTTCATAAAATTCAAATGTAGTATATGCCAAATGAATTACAATTAATGAATGGTAGCCATCGGTCCCTTTTGGCCAACAATCTTAAGTCTTTGGCGGACACTCTCGACGGTACTCGTGACAACATGTTTATCAATATTTTGCAGATATTTTTTATAATTAATTTAAATTATTTTGTTTTAAAATCTATTTTCAAACATATATTAACTTAAAAGACCAAAAAACATCAATCCATAAGTATTAGGAGTTATTTGTGTGGGTTCGGTAGCGGTAACCAAATCATACATTTTGCTCATTGAAACACTGCTGTATTGTTTTTCCATAGAGTGTTATATGCCATCCGCGGGTATACTTTGGTTTTGATGGTAAATCTTTTTTGTCACTCAATCAATACAAATGATTTTTTAAACATATATTGGCAGATAAATTTACTTCATTTTGGTATAGTTTTTGTTTTGTAATTTTTAATTTATGTGACAGTTTTTATCACTCAAAATTGGTGCAGAATTTAATTTCAATTGCGTTATTATTCTGTAAACAAATAAATAAGATTTATATTCTGTATTAGAAAATAGTCGGCGGAGAAAGAGAACGATCTCAAATTGATCGTCAGATCTAGTGTCCAAAAAATAACATAATAAATTGAAATCAATGTTTACCCCATACCGACCGATACCATCAATCAATACATTGCCAAACATAATGGTGTCTGTCTTTTTCACACCAAAATCTGTCCGTCCCTTTCAAACCATAGGTCGATATGTATGAGATGAGAGAAGATCCGCGAACTCAGGAGCACGTGGTCGGGAAGTCCATCAACATGGCTCTGTCCGAGAGGGGTCGGGTAGCTCTCCGGTCGCTGGGTCTCGAGGACCAGATACTGGACAACTACTCCATCAAAATGAACGCCCGACTCATACACGACGTGAACGGCCGGAAACGGGCCATACCTTACGGCAAGAAAAATCAATACCTGCTGTCGATTAGCCGGCGATTCCTCAACGAACTAATGCTCACAGAAGTGGAAAAGTATAACAATATTAGTCTGAATTTCAATCACAAACTGGTCGGCGCTAATCTCGATGAGGGTATGTATTATTTGTAGCTCATCATTACATTTGTCATTCATTCACTAATTAGTACTGTTATTGTAATTTTGTCGCTATAAATGCCATACTCTGCGATATTCTTGTATATAATTATTATAATTATGTGTATAATAGAGTTTAATGTGTGTTGAGATTAGATTAGGGTTGAGTTCTTCATTTGATTAGTGAATATTCACAACATTTGCTGACATTGTGTTAATATCTGCGCCAATAAACAAAAGTTTTGGACTCAAAAAATCTCACACTTGTTTACGGCTTATTTTAAATTACAGTATTTTAAATACAATTATTATATAAACAAATAAATTTTGTCGGAAGTGTAAATAAATACTAAAAACGGGTGCTTTTGAGTGCATTTATGGCACTGAATAACAATTATTATATGAATGATTACATTAATTCATCCGTTAATAAATAATTGTGATTTATAGTTATCCAAATGTTTAGGATATTAAACTAAAAGCTAATACTAATAATACCAAGTATTATGTTCAGTATTGTTTTCAGTATTGTTTATTTATTTAATATAAAGTTTTTACTGAATAGATTTAATAAGAAGGGAGGCCAAACAATTTCATAAACCACATTATTTTATACAGAATTGTGGTTAATAACTAACAAAATGCTTTGTAACTGTTATTGAGATCTAGAGCCATTAAAAACAGAATTTTTCACCCCTTATATTAATAGACAATTTGTGTTAAATAGTTGGCATTTATCGCAGTTTTGAGTGAATCGTATTAATTGATTTACTATATAATCAACTAATCACCAAATGATTACCGTATTATGTATTTAATAGATTTGGATCATTGATTACATACAATAATATTAATTATATCTGTTTATTATCCATTGATTTCTTACAACAAAAACAATTTGTTTGAAAACTGAATCAATAATTACTTGTTTTTGGCAGAAAAGTTGATAAATATATTTAATAATAAGACAAAATTTAAATAATAGTTCTTAACATATTTAATATATTGAGGTTATAAAGCAATTGCCAAAAAATATCAAAAACTAATATATTTTTAAATTTAATTCAATCTGTGTTTACTATTTTTTTAATCAAATAATTAATAATTCATAACATGTTTTAAAATTGAAATATAAATAGGAAATAATACCAACAAATATAGCTGTTATCAGATATCCGGTAAATGATTTATACGTACAGAAATCAATATGATAAAACTATTTATGATATACCAAAATACAGTAATATCAATATTGGTTAAATTAAAACATTATGGTAGTTAATGTGGTTTTATTAATTAAGGCTAGAAATCAAGTATAAATGATACAGAAAGGGCACACTATATGGCACCTGTAATCATATGCTAACCTGTTTTAATGTGTTCAATGTATTGAATATTTTGACTACTTTTATACTAAACACTACTGTACTCTACCTGTATTTTAATACAGGTGTCATTCATATTGCATTACATTATAATGGGTTTATTAGCTTTAAATATCTAAATTCAATTAACTCTTCAATTAAGTCAATAAGTAAATCAGTTTTTAGACAATTAAACGTAAAATATAATTTATAAAAGTATATTTTAGCCCATAATTAGCTTTTAATTGATGTAAAATTATTGAAAATAAAGTTTAATTGAAATAAAAGTGGTATAAAAGCTGTAATGAAGGAAATACAGGGCTAGAGTGGGAAGGGATGGGTTGGAGTGTGTTAGGCATACTTACCTGGCGTCGGGTTAGCCATGATCAAAGAGGTGGCGGCCCCGGGCTGAGTCGGGTCCATTGCACTTAGTGACCATGATGAATCCCGCCACTATTCCAAAATGGAACAGATGGGACGTGTAATTTTTGGTAGCGGGAGACAGCGTTCGCGCTATACTCCCAATCATTCACAATACAAAAATAGATGCACTTCTAAATTCATACACATTAAATTGCTAATTGTCATTATTTATATAAATGACAATTAAAAATTTTATAATCAAAATTAAGAATATATGTAACATTTTATTTTTAATAGTGCTTTGAATTGATGTAATGTTAAAAGAGAAATAGTATTTGATCTAGGTGTAAAAGTAGAATTTAATGAGTGTTTAATGCTATCAATTGCAGGCAAAATGACATTCATGTTAGACGACGACAAACAGAGGCAACGGCACGAATCGGCGGATCTGATCGTCGGCTGTGACGGCGCCTTCTCGTCGGTGAGACGAGCGATGGTTAAACTGATTCGCTTTAATTACAGCCAACAATATATAGAGCACGGATACATCGAACTCAATATACCTCCCAATGAAAGTGGCGATTACGCCATGGAAGTCAATTATCTGCACATATGGCCCAGGAGTTCGTTCATGATGATCGCGCTGCCCAACCTCGACCATAGTTTCACAGTTACCCTGTCGATTGCGTGCGGGCTCTGACACCTGCCTCCTCAGCGACGAACCCCTGGCGTCGACCGTCTGGTCGTTGTCCTGACCCACGAAGAGTGGGTTCTCGTAAACAGTGGCCGAAGAGGTGATCGCCGTTTCGGGTGCTGTCGTGGAAGCGATGGTGGGATCTAAGCTGACGGCGCGTCTGTAGTGGTGCTCATCGTTACTGTTTTGGTCGCTATTGTCTTGCATTACATATGAGATCAACGATTAGATAATCAAATCGAGGGTTGAGTTAATTGAACACAACTTTTAGTCAATGAAACGCCAATTTTGTGATCAAAAAATGTATTTCTCTTATCAAATGAAAGCATTTCTCAGCACTTATTCACTGCATTCACACAGTGTTTGCCTTTCATATGATAACATTGGGGCGAAATTGTTTACTTTTGCTGCTAATCCTATTACCTTATTATCGCACATAGAATTGCATGCAATACTAAGTCAATATTAATAAAATAGATTTTTAAAATTGTATGCAATGCTATCTAGATATCCCTTCACTAAAATTGACATAATATTGCATGCAATAGTATCGGAAATTCAGTAAAAGTATTTATACGTAAAATTTAAATTAAGCTTTCAAGAATATTTTCCTATTTTAAGTGCTTTAAGTCAAATTCGGATTAAAATCAAAAATAATTACCCTAAAATTTCTTGCAGTACCCGCACCCATATATAACCCGCATCATAAAAATATTATTCACCATGTAATAAGCAATATCTAACCCACCCCATTGATAACATGCATATAAGAATTTTCGAAAAATTTCACTTCTTTCAATAGATAACCCGCGGGTAATGCACGGATTTTTAGGGTAATCAAATTTGTAATGAGATGTAAAACTACAATTTAAAACTTAAAATTTGATGAATCAGCATTTCAATCCATAGGATAATTATCCATAAATGACAAATTAATTTTAAACATCTTTATATGATAATTAGGTTTTGATTTGATAGTCATTTTAAAATTAATAAATTTTATAAATATGTTATGATAAATTAAGGAACAAGTATAATTTAAGAAATTTATACAAACGGAAATTAATACAATTTATTTAATTTACCATAAATATTAAAAATCATAGTATTTAATTCTAGACAATTTGTTAATTTGAAATACTGATAATTTAATAATTTCATTTTTAATATATGCAATAGTATTTCATTTTTAATTATTTTGATTATTGGCCAAGAATAGGATGTAATGTTATCTAGATAGTATTGCACCCCTTTACTGATATTATAATGTTAAAATCATTTGATTCTCGATATGATCTACTGGTCACTCATATAAACTCTGGGGGAATAACGGGGAAGTCACTGGGATAGCCTATACATACGTCACATGTTCGCACAGATGGCTGCCTACACATAAACTAGGGCTGTCCAAGTAGTTGTACAAACAGCGCACTCTGTATGCTATACTGTATACATTGTCACACATGTTGTTGTCTATTCGCCAACAGTAGTTTATGTGTGTGCAGTCAGCTGTGCTCATATATGACGTTTATACCAGGATACGGATATGCTACTGAGTCAAATCTTTGTGAATTCACATTATTGATTTAGTATTGCATGCAATTCTATGTCCGAGAAAAAGGTATTAAACACTCAGGTGTGTCCCGTATATCACTCTCCCCTCCCATTCCCTCCAACCACTCATTAACCATACAATTAAGTGCTGTTTAAACAATTAAAGTGAATTTAGTGGTGAAATAATGTGAAACAATTAAATGCTTGCATCTCTTTATTTTTGTTATACTTTTTTGTATACTTTTTTTTGTTTCATAAAAACACATAAAACTTTTACAACTTTATAAAGAATATAAGAAAACAAATCATGCATTCATTTGGTTTGAATGAATCGATTGCTAATAAAAACAATAAAAATATTATCTATAAAATGTTAAATAAAAATCTCATTATTTTGTTAAAAGACTAAAATAAAGACTAAAAGAGTCCGCAAAGTATAGTCATGTTT